ATATATACTGTATATATATATTTTTAATTTAATATTATTAATTAATAAAAGTTAAAAAAATGATGTTTTTATGAGCAAAATTTTAATGACTATTTATAAAAAAATTAACAATAAACATTTTCAATAATCAAATTTGTTGTTTAAAGAATTTTTTTTTGTTTTATTTATTTAAACAGTTCATAAAGTTTTGCCAAATTTTTGCCCAATATATATTTTAATAATATTCATAAACATTCACATAATGATAACTTTTGGTTTATCTAAAATTCCGCTGGTTTATTTTAATAATTTATTCTTAAAAGTTTCAAGTTGCGCCGTAAATCTGTAGCTTCGCCCGAAGCTTCAAACTTAATGTAACATGATATATATGATCAACAAATGATCGGCAAGGTGATTAAAGCTATGCTGGACGCCATTGAAACGTGACTCGGGCGCGAAATAATAATGAAAAATTTTAAACTCACAGAGAAAGTTGACTATGATCCATTGGAAAATCTGGACTTACAGAATTCGATAAGCATTTTATTAATAAAATGTCATTTAAGATAGTTAAAATAACATTAAATAATACTAAATTTTGTGTAACCATATATCTCTTCTATCATTCTAATTACCGACTCTACAAGCATTTTTTTTAAATAAATCAAAAAATTTAATACAAATTCTGCAAATTTCAGTAAACTCAATATCAGTAAAATCGGTTTATAAATTTTTAAAGGCATCCAGGAACCTCAGAAATTGCGTATCTGAACACAAACCCGCGTGTAGCATCATCATCATTACTCTCCTTTTCATTACAATCTTTCATCATTAATGATAATATAGTCACTATTATTTTAGACATTTTTGAAATTATTAATAATTAATTAATAGTTTGCATATCAAACTTGTCAATTTATTATAGTAATTTTAACATACAGTAAATAAAAAGTCCATTCTATGTTACTTTTCAAAATAATTATCAATATTTAACGGGTTTTGGTGAGCCCCTGCGATATGATCTTGATGGTGAGCTAGGTGTGTTCGAATTGATAACTTCCAATAGCTTTGCAGAAACTTGTGATTTGTTACTACGCAGTTAAGTGATCATCAACGACGTAATATCAGATGATCTCGTGAAATTATTGAATAACACACTTTTTCGAAAGACTGAATCGTCTTAAATAGATGGTATCTTCCTATTTTATTAATTTTATTAGTATAGTAAAAAGTAATAATAAAATGTAATCATAATAAAATGTTTATATATAGACGTCTTTCAAGTTCTCAGTTTAAAACCTCCGTCTTTATCTATAATCTCGTCTTGTCCTTTTATTTGTAGTCCTTTCCTAAATCCTCATTCATCATGGAATCATATATTGCTTTCATCAAATCCTTTTCATTGTTAAAATACATTAAAATATATCTAGTTTTGTTTATTTTAATGATTTTTGCGAAATGGTCACCATATTCACTTTTTAACCAGCCTGCCATCTATATCTTTTCTTGATGAAAACGCATATAACCGTAGTTTCCATGTCATTTGTTAGGCGGATTTTTGTTAGGACAGTTTTATATTTAAAGTTCCGTTTGATCGAAATAGGTTTTCAAAGATTTCTTCATCCAAGGAAAATCGTAGAAGACTAGGTCACGTGAAGCTTCGGCAAAATGTTTAGCCAGATATTCTGCGTCGGAAGTAATGTATGATTTAATTATGCGAGCAAATCTTTGTGTCAGAATCACGTGTGAGCAGGTGATATTTTTTTAAACACTTTTAAATTATTAAATTTATGAAATACAAAGAAATTTTTGTTAATAAATAAAAAAAATTATAATGTTTGCGACTTATTTATATACTTTGTCTTTAATCAAATTACGAGAAAAGATTAACGATAAATATTTTATTTCGATAAATGCAGACGACAGTGAACTATAAATATTTTCACTAAAAATTTTGTGTGTATTTAGAAAGAGACTAATGCAATTTACGATGTATATTTAGGGAGATTTATAGCTTATATATTGTAATATTTTAAATATGTTATTTATCTAATTTTTTTTTTCTTTATCTACCGTATATAACCATCCGATATTGTATGATGAAAATCTTTGCAAATAACTATATATGAACATAGGTTTATGGGTTTATACATATTAAATTCTATTAATAAATATCAAATTTCTATTTTCTATAATCTGTACATATTCCATTTGAATAAATAAATTTAAAAATATGATGATCCAATTAGCCACCATATAAATTATTACAACCTAATTTAAGTCTATATTTGTAATCTTATATAAATGTTTTCTTTATTATACTTTAATTACCTTATTTACCTATCATATTAGGTAGCCAATATGTTAGAGAATTTCTTTTTTAAAAATAATAATCTTAAAACATATGATCGTGTCACGTGATATAAATGTATTAAAATGTCCAGTCCCTATGACAACACAACGCCCGTTATATTAGCACGCGAGTGTGTAGAAATAATACGAGTATAAAGTCGATATAATTAAAAAAAATTCGCAAGGGTTTGCGATTTAGTACGATACGGTATTAGGTTAAAATGATATTGGAAGGGAATATTAAATATCGATCATTAATGTTCTTTAATTAGTAAGGTTAAAAACGTGACCCGTTAAAAAATTCATTCACGAATGTATTATTCGTAATCTGCATAGGTAATCTTCTAATCAGATATAATGCATCTGTTTTTCTTATTATTCGTCGAGTTTTACGTCTGTGAATAACACGAGAATAATATGACACGTAAGATTGAGCAGTAGTAGTATTATCCAAAGGAGTGGGCTCTTCAATATTGCTGATTGTGTAGGATGTAATTTTTGTATAATCATTATTAATTTCGTTAATTTTATTCAAATCGTGGTTCCGGTGATCCATTGTGAAAGTATTAATTTTAAAAAAAATGCGAAATGTTCTAAATAATTTTATTTAGAAATCTTTAATACGAAAATAACAAAAGAAACGATTCGAATAAATAGAAAATATTCTACTGATTCTATTTTTTTTTATAAAAAAAAAAAAGAGAAAAAGACAGAAAAAAAAATATAATTTTTTTTTTGTCGTCAAAAGGGTATTTTTAAGTTATTGTAGCGATTTTTTTTTTTAAACCCAGCTATCTAAAAGGGTTGGGGTTTGGTTGATATTGTTGATATTGGGTATTTTATACATTTTCCCAACGATTAGAAATTGTTTTAATTTACATTTTAAATTCGGTGAAATAATAATAGATGAATAACAAAAAAATTTTTTTATTTTTTTAAATTATAATATAAAATAAAAAGTTTTCCCCCCAATAAAACAAGTATTTAATTAATATATGCAAATCCTTTGTGACTTGACAGTTTGTGGGGATTAAAGCAAAAATGGCTCAAATTAAATTTTTTTTTTAAATTTATATATATTAATGGGCTTTTTATTTTATAATATTATATATACTGTATATATATACTGTATATATGTAAAGAGAAAAAAAGGATTAATTAAGAAATGACTTTTCTAAAAAAGAATAAACAAATTTTGTGCCACATATAAATACAAACAATGTTCTTCTCTTTGTAATATTGGCTTTATATACATTTGGAATTTCCCCAAATTTTGTCCGCTTTAACAAACAAAAAGGTTGTAACTAACTAAATAAAGTACTCCCCAAACTTCATATTATGGGGTGGATGAAAATAATTATTTCTTAAAAATTTTCGCTTTAAACTATAATTCTTCTTTTTTACGCAACATTGTCTTATTTAGTTATTTGAATAATGAGATGGTTAGAAATTATCTTTATTTACAATGGATTATATTGTCAACACTTCGTAGTCCTACAAAGCGTCATAAGAAATTATTAATGATATTTAATAAAAATTATTATTTCTTTGTACGTTGTGATTACTGCGACTACGGACAAATTGACCAGTTTTTGTCCGGTAATCGTCCTGTAATCTATGGGGTAGCACAGTTTTGAAAACGGCGATAATAAGAAAAAAAGAAACCGAGCAAAAAAAAAAAATCACTCACAATAAATTAATTCATTCCGTAAATATTATTAATAATTATGGCCTAAACAAAAATAAAAATAACTAAGCATTGAAAGATGAATAATCTCGATAAATTGCTTGCAAAACCACATGTTATAAAGACCGTTTAAATAGATCCCATGGTTAAAAATGAGCCCACCTTTTTGTTGTGAGGTCCCCATTTTTATAGAAAATGACTAAATAACCTAACCTTCTTTTCATTGTATATGTATGTTGCATATCAGTCAGCCGAGATGTCCCTGATCGAATGTGACGTATGTAAACAATAGATTTTTGCGATAATTTTTTTCTTTCCCTCCTTTTTTTGACTTTCAAGACGTTTTTATTAAAATCAAAATTTTAAACAAAACGGTTCAGAAAACTTTGTGGTTTGGAAATATCAAATTTTTATTGATATTTTATTATTTAATTTTAATGTCGGTAGTTTGAAAAGTTTTACAACTATACAACTATAGTGACTTTGGAAGCATAATATTTTGTATAAAAGAAGAATCTTGGCAATAAGTGTTCATATATACATATAATATAAATGGTAAAGGATTTTAAATGGTTTAAAAACTTATATTTTGAAACCTGAAAAGATTTTTTTTTTTTAAAAAAAAAAAAAAATCCATAGACGTTTGAAAAAATACTTCATTATTTGTTACACAAAGTTTTTAATGCAGTAAATCCTTATTTATTTACCTTACGAATAACCTTATCATGTTTTGTAATACAGCTTGTCAATTTATAATTAATAAAAAACAAACAACCCTTTCACATGATTTGCATATGCGTATGGGACTAAATCTTCAAATTTCATATGTCTATCTGTCATATCAAACGATGTGATAAATTAGAGAAATAAAGCTATTCTTTTTAATAAGTATAATTTTTGAATTTAGTTCAACATTTTTTCATAAATTCTTTATTATTTACTATTTAATAATCTAATCAATATGAGTGAAAATATAGATGACTATACATATTTTTTTTTAATAGTAAATAATAATTGTTATGACTATTATTTATACTTTTACTTGAATTACTTAGTCTAACAATAATAATAAATAAATAAATAATTTACTAAATCTCCAAGTAGAACATTTTTTTTTAGAAAAAATAAATCTTTTTATAAAATTGCCAATAAATAAAAGAAACACATATGCCCAAAGCGTAAACGTCAAAATATTCTGTTCACATTGCATAAACCAACTAGAATGCTTAATTTTGTAATATCAAGTAAACGTGTACTTTTTTTGAAAAGTTTGAAAGGGGGGGCATAAAGATTTTTTTAATCATATGCTTACCCTGCCGATCATTACTGTTAATTTATCGATTGATTAAAAAAAAGCCTATACAAAAGACCCTCATAAAGTTAGTAATTATGCATTATTTGCAATCCAACATTATCAATCTAAAAAAACTATATTATAAGCAACTAGTAACAGATTATTTTGAAAAAAAAAGCGGAGAATGATATACATAATTATTTTGTCTAGTTGGAATTTTTTTTATAATTATTTTTTAATTTCCGTATCAAAGCTTTTTTTTTTTAAAAAAAAAAAAAAAATTCTCCACATTGCCGCGCCAATTTGAATAATCTGAATTGCATTAAATTGTGTATGTCGCACCTCAACTTGTCATACCAAACAATAACTTTAAGATAAAATTCGGATTTATTGATTTTAACTTATCTAAAAAAAGCCTCATATGTTTTATCAATAAGAAATTCCATTGTAATGTGCAATTACCTAATGTATTGGCTATTTTGATAATCTTCTTAGTTAGGGTTTATTATTGTGTTTGTGAAATTTAATGGCCCAATAATAATTTTTTCTTTTTTAAAAAATTGATGTTCTGCGCATTACGTAAAAAATTACGACAGAGATATGACATCCAGAATTTTTTTAAATATGGATGAAAGTCAATGTATATCTTTTTTCCATTGTTGTTTATTATAACTTAAAAGCGCCTCATTTTAATAAAGAAACTTTTCAAAGAAGTTATAACATTAAGATTCACCACTGAAGAAAGAATATTAAAAAATTTTGTTTTCTGGGGCAATTTGTGATTTTAAATTACACGAAATAATAATAATACTCTGATTTTTGTGATACCATATACATCATACATTCATGAGAATAAAAATCTACTTTTAAAATATGTTGTGGACTTGTGGCCCAATTCATATTTGAATTGTTGTGAATGTTGTGAACGCAAAATGGTTTAGTTCAATATTTGTATTGTAATACATTCGATTCAATTATATGAATATAATGAAAGAGAAAATTTTTTTTATTAACTACAAACTAGTTGAAACGGTCGGCCGGTCAGAGGTTTCCCCATATAAAATTTTTCAGAAAAATGATTACGTGTCTGAGTTTCTTAAATTTATCGGAGTTTTTTCTAGTTTTTTTTTCTATAGGGTTTATTGCTAGTATTAACCTTTAATTTTTTTTGTTTGTTAAAAAAAGGAAATCACTTACCATATTTAATTTATCTTTTCCTCCTTTCATAATAAAAAAAGTTGACTTATAATGTAACTGAAAATGGAAATAATTTCCTATTTTTGATCGTTTTATAAGAAAAAAGGTTTTTATTAAAAAAAAAATTCAAATAAAAATGATTTGTTTTTGTAAAAAAAAATAATTTCTCTTATTTATTTATTTATTTATTTATTTTGTAAAAGAAAATTTTCATTATTTATATAGACAAAATGCCACATATTTAATATACGGCGGACCATCATATTATACACGTTTTAACATCGGATTATTATAACTAATTAATTTTTTTACACCATGCAATATAAAATCATGCGTCTCAATATAATTTTATATAAATTCAATCCGGAGCGTAGAGAAAGATTATATATATGCAATGTCGCTGTGAGTCAGTGCATGTGATATGTTCTCATTGTAATCATTTTAGCTTGATTTCTCAATAAAGAAAAATGTAGTGTGTTTATCATATGGATTAGTTAAAAAACCTGTTCTTGCTTGCAGAATTAATGCAAGTTATGATTTTTGATAAAATAATAAAATAATAAAATAAAAAATAATAAATAATAAAAGAAAATGCTTCTTCCATTCTTTTGAAATTTTCTTTGGTGACAACAGGTATTTTTTTTTTTTATTTTTAACAGTTTGTCTCTAATTTTCTTTTTACTTCTTTCTTATGTTCTTTTGTTATACAGCAAAAGGTGTTCTTTCAGTTTGTAAAAGGTACCTTGTTCTTTATTTATTTATTTATTTATTTTTGTTTTGTTTCTTATATTTCGTCTCTTATTTATTCTTATTAACTCTATTTCATTCTTTATGGAATTTGCCATTGATCTTTCCTTAATCTTGTAAATTTTGTCCTTGATCCATTTTTCATATTTTTATTTTTACATCCCCTTTTTTACTTTATAGGTTTTTAGTATAGAAACAGTAAATTTCAAGACTATTGTATATTTTTTTATTAGAAACATTAAAAAACGTTGTGCTTCATCACCTCCTTTTTCCTTTTCTTGTCTTTCCTTTCATTTCCTTCTTGATTCCTGTTCATCTTTCTTTAGGCATTTCATAGAAAGTAGGCGAAATATAATATCCCTTTTTTTGTTTCTTTTATTTCACTTTATCCCTTCCCTTTGTAGTATTTATTGTTGGACTTTTTGAAAGCTTTATTCCCTTAAAAGGATCCTCAGAGGATGTGTTAATATATTCATAATATCATTGTAAATAAATTTTAATACATAAAATTATTTATTTATTGGTTAATAAAAAATGTAAATTTTGCTCCAGAATCATAATGGTTTCCATTTCCTAGTATAATAAGCAATGTATTGGTACGGGTACAAATCAATTTACCAAATTTTAAAACATTGATTCGCACCCAGGTATATACAGTGGTATATACTTACACCCTGTCAGTACTAGAAGAATTATAATTATATGAAAATTTTTAAATGTGATTTATAATATTTGTTAAATATGATGATTTTGAGGAAATTAAATAGATCCACATATTACATATTTGATGTATTGAGACGGTATTTTATATGGAGGGTATATCGAAAGAGGGTTTTCTATATGTATTATGATGGTTTTATAGAGCCATATATTAATTCATTTTAATTTAATTACAGTTACACTAAATTTATCGTTCATCGAAAATTTCAGTTTATAGTAAATCCATTATTTTTGATTTGATCATAAACCAAACAATAACAATAAGTCAATAATAATACTTAGATAAAGAAAATTTTTCTCATATTTACTATTATATCGACGAAAATTTCTTTAATATACACGGGCGTTTCAAATAAGTATCACGTGATCTTATAACAAAAATTAATGTAAAAAAAAAAATTGTAAGTAAGTTTATTTTTACTTGATCTATAAGTTTCAAAGATTTGTTTTAAATGTCATTTTTCTTGTTTTTTCCCGTTAAGTTGAATTTCGGCTAACATTTATATGGTGACCGGCTTAACCCGTGTTGGGCGTGTCGCCGTGTCATGCACAAATAGAAATTGCCATTATCAATATATCAAAATTATAATTATCCTACAAAATTTTATAAAAATATCACATGGAAAAACAATATTTAAAGGCTAATTTCTTTAATGTCTTAAGGAATAATTTTGAAATAATTTTATTATGGAACAATAAATCAACAGTAAGTCATAATTATGTTTTGAAGCAAATTTGGTTCATTAAGTAGAAATAAAATTATTCATGATTTTATAAGGTATATACAAATAAATAAATTAATTATTTTTATGATGATAAAATAGTATTTGTTCCATATGATAAATTCAAAGATGTAGAATTTTTTGTTGAAGAGGATTTAGTAAAATTCAAAAGTGTAAACGTACTAGTAATAAAATAGTTGCTCTCGAGGAACTCAACAATTCCAAAAACATCAGTTCCAAAGAGTTAAATGAGGTATTTTTATTCTTATCTATTATTGATTATTAGTCTATATATAAACAATTAATATTTTTTTTAATTATTATTTAGCTCAGAATATTATTCACACATCAACGTTGATTTACATGTAATTAATAAACATTATGGAATAACTCAATATCCTGTTATTGAAAGATAAGCTAGGTAAATTAGTTAATATTGCATTTGAACTTAAAAGTACATATTATTCACAAAGATTTGATTCGCCGAAACTATATACTTCTCATGACAAATAGCACATGCACCGTTATATCGATTAATGAAAAATTGTTGGCATTCGATCCAAATAAAAGAATGATAAAATCTGCAAAATTTACAAGAAGTTTAAAAAGTAAAGTATTTATAGCTTGAAATTTAGTAAATAATTTATTTTTAAATTCTTCGATTGTTTCTGTGCAATTATTAAACTTTTTGTTTACTAAGACAAAAGAAAATTCAATGCTGGTCTGTTTGAAGACATATTAAACTTTTTCCTATACGATTGAATAATTTAAATCTTTTGGCTCTTGGCTGTCCTATTTTAATTTCAAAATATTTTGTATAAGATTAACAAAAAAAAATCAAAATTTTCGAAATCAGTCGTTGATTTCGCAAGACGACGAAATGATGCAAATGAATTAATAAGTGTACTAAACAGGCTCTAGCAGCCAAAATTTATAGAATAATTCAGAAAAATTAGTTTTGTTTGAAATTTCAAACTGGTTACTATTGTTTCTTTTATTAATCTATAAACTGACAAATATTATTATGTTGACAATTTTCGTTATATAAAAAAGAAAATTCGATAACGTACAGTACTTAATATTATACATTAAAATATCAGGAATATTTGACATAAACTGTTAAATAGGAATTTATATAGATGTTACCTAATGTAGTTTGCTATAAATTTGACCGCAAAAGAAATAAATTTGTGGCAAAACTAATAACGCATTTTTAGATTATTAATACTGTATTTTAGATTTCAATTATCTGATCATTAATTGATTTATTTCTTTATATGGACTTTAAGTTGTATGTTGTTTACTATTACATAGTACATCAAATAGCTAAATAAATATAATTATTAATTTTATTCTTTCGGTTCAAAATTTAATAGCATCACTTGTTAATGTGTTAGTGGGTGTGAACAGTTGATTAGCTGGTTCACATCAGCTGCTATTTGTCGAGTTATTCCTTAAATAGCTTTTTTCAGTTGTCTTTTTATAAACCCTTTCCTACGACTTTATCTTCTAATGTATTGTATATTTATTTCTTTTCATTGCTCGCTTTATTAATTGGTTGAATATTTCTTATATTTTTTCATGATTATATATTTTTAAATTAAATTAACTTTTAAAAAATAAATAAAAATTAATTTTTAATCGTTAAATGTGCTGTAATAATAGAACAACATAGTGCCAATTAACTTGTGGCTGATCGGCATAAAACTTTCTAAATATTTTATCAATTTATTTTGTTAGGATAATACCCGTGATGAAATAGTTCGAGATCATCTCTGCGGCTGAATTTTAGTCGCAGATTTACTGCGCATTTTGCGATAAACAATAGAAATTGAAACAATGGTGATCGGCAGGTAACATACAATATAAAGGGATTTAATTTCTTTTTCATAATAATAATGTCTCTTATTTTAGTACATATAAAAATTTCATTTTTTTTGAACCGAAAAATAATTATTTAAATTTAAATAACGTACCTTATATTGTAAAATCGAAAAAAATGTCTTGCCAAACTTTATCTGACACACTTTTAAGGGACATTAGCAATCTTTATGATAAGGCTGATGATTATAATGTAAAAATACAAGTTGGGGAAGAGTCCAAAATGGAAGTATTTAAAGCACATTCAGTTATTTTGCGTGCTAGGTCAAATTACTTTCGCACCGCATTTTCTTCAGATTGGGCTAAAAAAGAAGGTGACTTTTACATCTTTAAGAAACCAAATGTATCCGGAATTATATTCCGAATAATATTGAAGTAAGTATATTAATAATAGATTAATTAATTTTGAACCTATAACATATTTTAAAAGTAATTTTTATTTTTTTTATTTAGATATATTTATACTGGAACAATCGCGTTAGATGCAACTAATGTAGAAAATAATTTTATTGAATTACTAATTGCGGCAGATGAGATGAACCTTTATGAGCTTGTTGAACACCTTCAGCAACATATCATTGACTTGAATCATTCGAATAATGATTGGATTAAACAAAATGGTATTAAACTCTTCATTACTATTTTTCGTCATAAAGGAGTTTTTTCAAAGCTTGAAGAATTGTGTAATAAAATTATGAGTCAAGAACCAAAATTGTTGATTGGTTCTAATGAGTTTTGGGGACTAGATGATGATGCTTTACTTTCAATTATTCAACGTGATAATCTAAATATGAAAGAAATTGTAATTTGGGAGAACTTAATAAAATGGGGCATTGCAAAGAATTCTACTCTTAATTCTGATATGACAACTTGGAGTATTAATGAATATAAGACTTTAAAGGAAACTCTATCAACATTTATTCAGCATATTCGATTTTTTCAAATGACACCACAAGAATATTATTATAAAGTCCGTCCTTTAGGTAAATTGCTTCCTAAAGAACTTGAAGAAGATTTAAATTTATATTATATTGTTCCAGATTGCAAATTGGCCACAAAAGTTCTTCCACCTAGAAAATCTCAGTATATATTTGGTTCATCCATTTTTAAGGGAACTCATTTTAACCTTATTTCATACTGGATTGATGGTGGACAAGAACAATTGCCAAATGTACTTGAAAATGGCCAATATAAATATAATTTACTTTTATGTGGAAGTAAAGATGGATTTGGTGTAGATGATTTTAAATTAAAGTGTAATAATAAAGGAGCTACAATTGTTATAATTAAATTAAAAAATTCGGACAAGATTATTGGAGGATATAATCCAATAGGATGGTGCGCAACTAGCAAATATTTTAATACTGATAGGAGTTTTATTTTTTCATTTTATTTAAATAATTTAAAACCAACTACAATTATATTAAGCAGAGTTAAAAACTATGACTATGCAATTTCAGATAGTGATCATACTAAAAATCAAGGATTTGGCCGTGGAGATTTACATATATTTCAAAAAAGTTGTAAATTAGTAAATTATTTTGTTAAAATTCATGATTCAGAAAATTTTGAAATTGATGATTATGAAGTTTTTCAAGTTATGAAAAATTAATATTTTTATTATATGTGAATTGTTTATATTATATTGTTGAAAGTTAATAATTTTGTCATCAATTTTTTATTTGAATTTTTTTTATTTTTTGAACTTGGAAAATATTTACATTTTATTGCTTCTTTTGACTTTTTTTGGCATGGAAAAAGTATCTATATTAGTTACAGGACCTTCATAGTCATTCAGTTCTGTGGCTGATATAGCTCACCATCCAATAAAAGTGCGTAACTTTTAATCACGCTGTATACGCTGTATTTTCATTGATTACGCATCATAAATAAACTTTTCTATTTACATTACCCTTTAAATAGGTAATTTAATATAATTATATCAATTATATGATATCAAACTGAAATTGTTAAATATCCTGTACTATATAATGTTAATTATTACGTATGATAAAATACAAGCTTATTATATATATCAAACATTACTAATGATTTTTTTGCAAAATAACAAAGAAAGGGCTCAGAGAATTCCGTATCAAATAAACTTTGCATATATAATACAATACTGTATATAGTTTGTAATCAAACCGATTATTAAATTTACTTATACAAAATGATTATTACAAGTATTTCTAAGGAAAAAATAATTTATTCTTTATATTTGCGACATATCTGATATGGATTTTTTGAAACAGTAAAGAATATTAGAAGAATAACTAAATAAAATATATTATTCTAGTGTGGAAGAATAGTGTAAATTTCAATCAATTTGTATGTTTATTCATTTGGGTTAAATCAGTCAAGAATATCTTAAGAAACCAAGAAGATAAAATAGATTACAAATTTATAATAATAATAGTAGTACTGTAGTAGTAATAAATACTTTCTGTATAATTAGTATGATTTTCATATTATTTAATGTTATAATTCATAAAAATACTTGAAATAAAAAATTGAATTTTATTCGTTAAATAGGTTTATATATTGAAATGTTTCATCGGTACACGAAATTTTTGTATTTTACATAAATGTTTTATAATCTTTGTTTATAGTTTGTTAAACTGCTAAAAATTTACAATATATTATTAATCATTCTACCATGAAAATATTTCTTTAGTATTCTATAAAAGGTTAATACATCAGGTTGATCATTTTAAAAATTACCCAATGGAAATTCCTACGATATATGATAATCTTAAAAAGTTTCAAACATAAAATGTCAACAACTTTCCAAACTTGATGTTAGTGGCTATGAAAATTAATACAATTATCGTCCTCTTCAAAGTACATATTACGCGTTGATACTACAGTATGTTGATGTGGCTGTAAAGTGAATAATTAGATAAAAGAAATGAGTTACTTAGTTACTAACTTACTATTTTGAACAATATAAAGTATATATATTTTTATTTATTTATTCTTTTTTTAAAACAGAAAACATCTATTTTCACATTATTAATTTAAAGTGGCACTGTTCATTTAGATTGTGGCGCAATATAAAATACGTGGCAAAATACTCTCATACGATAATAAAAAAATGATTTTAACAAATAATTGCGGCTAAAAATAATTATTAACATCAAAATCTCGTATTTTCTCATTATTAATTTAAAGTGGCTTCTCTTCAATTGTAAATTTTAACATGTCATAATGTAGAAACTTGTTAAAAATACTCTTGTACGTCTTTACTTCGCCCTCATTAATAACTCAATTTTACAAATAATCGCGGCTAAAAGCTCTTCAATAGTAAATTTTAACATAGCTATGGCGCAATATAGAAAAACGTGGCAAAAATATTCTTGTATATACACCTCCTTTATTTCTCCTTTATTGATTCATGAAATAATTTTAAATAATGTTTTTATAAAAATTTTCTTATATAAAGTATAAACACTTTGAGAAAAAGGTGAAAAAATTTCTTTAAACAAATTAATAAACAACGAATTAAAAATTATATATATTAAAAATACAAATCAATAATGAAATTCAAATACTTATTGCTAATTTTCGCCTTTACTATTGTTTTAGCGGGTAAATAAATCATCACTTTAAAAATAAATTTTCTTTTTTTATTCATATTAATATTAAGGGTTCTTTTAATGATAATTTAAATTCGCAGATGCAGCACCGGGGATATTGAAACGTCATTGGTCCCCTATTTGGAAACGTGACGCGGACGCAGAAGCCATACCCGCAATAATAGAGAAACATGGGCCGAACGGAGAAGTCCTATGGGCTGACGACCCATCTGTATTATGGTAACGCGGACGCAGAAGCATTGGCGGCATCGTCATTGAAACGTGATGCGTTATAAACGGATTATTAATCGTGATGCAGACGCAGTACAATTATTGATCTTTGCTAGATATGTAACGATTCCATACTAAAATAAAATATATATTTTTTTGATTATCGATAAATAAAATCTCATGTTTGCTTACTAATTAAGTCGGTAGTGTGCTTTTTTAATGATATTATCATGTCTGATGATATTTTTACGTAATCACAGTATGTCATGACTTACCTTATGATTATTGAGTGAAATTTTTTAGTTGAATTATTTTTTAATAACATTTTATGACAATTTTTTCTACTTTTAGAATTGCGAAAAAAATTGTAGAAAATTATTTAATGACTGAAATTACTTTATTAACTTCATTCCTAAAAACATTCTTCATGAATTTTTACAATATTTATGTTCATATCAAAAACGTTTTGTTGGTTATAATGATCATTGATTCACCACATGCTTTTTCACGAAATGTTTCGATATTTTAAGAAAATCAAAATCGAACGCACAAATAGTAGCTGTGCCACAGTTTTTTAACGTTTTATGGTAAATCATTTTATGAACACTACAATATAAATTTGCAAATCACACAAGAATCACACTCTAACTAGCTTTGCTTCAAGAAATAGGACTTATTATAAGTAAGTATTTAAGGTGGATATTTTTCGATAATATTTATTATTAATTTTAATAAAGTATATTTATGGTATTGTATTTATTTTGTGACGACAATAATTACAAGAAATTTTAACAACTACCAAGAATCAGTATTCCAACAGTACACAGAATTCTTAAAAATGAATTCGTTACGCATTTCCGTTTTTGATAACATTTACGACAAATAAGAAGAAGAAAATTTTTAGTGGTTCTGATATGAAAGTTGGTTAATTATATCATCATAATTTTATGATTAGTATTGACATGCATTAATCTATTTTATTTTAGATTTTACAAGAAATTATTATTTAAAAAGAATATCTTAATTATTACTTGAATGAAATTGTTAGAGATGATTAATACCAGGAAAGAGGAAATGTTGTGGAATAACAAAAAAGAAGGTTAAATATGTGTATTTTATTGTAAAATTGTTAAAAAAATTGTAAATTGTAATCAATCTTATTATTCTTTATAAATCTATTTGGAAAAAGCTGCATAAGAAAGGAATAAATTGCTAAAAGCTGATTATATTTATCACGTACTTTATGGATATTATGAACCATTAACAGTTAAAAGCAACTTATTTCTAGTGTTACGTTTACACGTGATTTTAATTTTTTTTTTAGACGATTATCAATTATGATTGATAAAAATATCAAAGCGAATATAATATATAAACATTATCTAATTTAATAAAAATTTAAATTTCTCACGTTAGGTTTGGTTGCTTGGATTTAGAGCTTGCACTCGCACTCATGTAACTCGAGTTGACTCGAGTTGAACTCGCACTCGAGTCAGAAATTTCTTGACTCGAGTCAACCGGGATCACGTGGTTGATAGCAGTGATGGCAAATGACTAGGTCATTTGCCCATTTTGAGATGACCCCCAAATGACCTTCGAATGACCTAGTCATTTGGGTCATTTGTCATTTGAGTCATTTAAAATTAATGCTTTATAATTCAGGCCAAGACAATGATGCCGGCCAGAATTATGAACTTGTGAAAATTTTATCCATGAAATAGTGAAATTGTATAAATAATTCTGGCCAGAATTATGATGTAATTTTTAAATGACTAGGTCATTTGTCATTTAATGTTGAAATGACCCAAATGACACGTGACCAGTCATCTGAGTCATTTGAGGTCATTTGGGTCACTGGCCAACACTGGTTGATAGTGCCGGCTGAACCCTATTTGTAATTCCTGCCGGCACTATGACTATAACGTCCTGGGTAAAATTATGGATAAGTTTTTTGGCCCGCACTTTAACTTTGACTCGAGTCCTGGACTCGAGTACTCTTTGAGTCAAAAAAATTCTTGACTCGTTTTACTCGAGTTAACTTATTCTGACTCGAGTCCAAGCTCTGGATTGATGATTCTTTTAAAAATAATCTCTATTATATAATAAAGAATGATTTAGAACTAAGTGATTAAGGACAAAATGATTTATAACTTTATAGAGGGAAGTAGATCTTGTCTGCTTCTTTCTAGGTGTTTTTTAAATTTATGTAACTATTTCGTTTGATTTGTTCGATTTGTTTATAAATAATAATCGCGTTACTGTTTAAAAAAAAAATGATTTATAACTCGCAAAAGATATACACGAAGCGAACTTAATTGTACAGGAGCAATCAAGCGTTCGGTAAATTTCTGGAAGTTTTAATTACCTTTTTTTATTTTTATTATTAGTATTTATTGAAATTTATTATATGATTTATTACCAGATTTTTTGGTTATTAATAAACGTTGATATTTTTTATAAAAGGAAAATTTTAATATTAGGTTTGATGCACAGGCAGTTATATACAAAATACCCACAGAATTATAAACTTTAAATATTTGAGGTTATGAAATTTATTAAAAGTTAAAAAATCTTTACTATACGCACTTTATGCTGCAAACCATCTGATTCACTAATTCGAAACGGGGAATAAAATGTACCAGTATATTTCTAAGTGAAAATATTAATCAATTTGTACGTTTTATTCATATGAAAGCAAAAAAAAAAATAAATGGATTAAATATATTAAAGTATGAAACCAATACACAATGCATGATAACAAGAAATCGTGAAGTCATATGTAAAATTCAAAAATTTCTGAACTTAGCATATATATTTTTTAAAATATAAATTTATATCTTCGTGATAAATAAATTTAAAATGTATATGACGTAAATTGCACGCACGTATGTCATTATCCTTCTTTTTATTTTATCTTACTTCATTTTAATGATCGAAACTAAATTAGCAACATAAAAATAGTATATATAACTTGAAACAACAAATAATCAAATTTGTCAAATAGTTTTATATATTGAAATATTTCGTCAGTGCACGGAATTTTTGTCATATACGGTATTCTAATCAAAATGGTGGAAAGAATAAACATCCAACTTTACAGCAATAAAAGCTACAGGAATTGCTTGTGATAATTAACAACCTACTGATACATCACTATTGTTATCGCAAAGTACGTGTTGTTACACAACAAAAGATAATATATTGCGATGAACACTAAGGATTATGAACATATTATGAGGATTTGCATTTGAAAATTAATGGAATCTTTCAATAAAATGATTAGAATCATATTAAAATTCAATTGCACGATCATATTCTTATCTTGATTTCATGAAGAAATTCTTTGTCGGAAAGACATGGCTGATATCTTGTGCTAATCTTGGTCATTTTTAACCCAATCATAGCCGCCCACTTAATGTATATAAATAATAATGGTCGCATTATTTTCAAATTTAGCTTCCTTTCTCAAGTTTCGAATATAATGAAGGAAATCCATCTCGTGGTCCTCACTTTTGTTCCATCTATGGAGGAGTCCAAAAACAAAGTGCGTAAAAGAGTAGAAGAGTGCAGTTTTATATTTAGATATACCACTGAAGTGCTATTTACCGTTGTAACACCAACAATCTACAATTCTATAATTAAAATTCTATCCACGTGACCAGTGACATTTAAGGGAAGTGAAAAAAATTTTTGGGAGGCAAAAACGTCCATAAGCACAGTACTATTATACAGTATATCTGCTAAACTAAACCAAATATAAACTAATAATATATCCAAAATTCTAAAATTCTACTTAAAAAAATAAATAAATAATTTAATATTATACTATAATATGATAATAACTGAATGATGTTTTTATTTAAAAAAAAATACGTGCTTATTAGAAATATTGTAAAAAATAAGAGAAACAGGGAAGAAAATATATAACACGAAATTTGACTAGTCCAGAATAAGCATTTGGACTGTAGCCCAGGTTAAAGAAGCCCTTGCGAAGTGCGATCACTATCGATATACTTACTGTATGACAAGACAATCTTAAAAAGTTGCTGAAACATAAAGTCTCAATACTTTCTAAACATGGAAAGTTAATCTATTATCGTCCTCGTACTTTTGACAATTACGTGTTGATATGATTAAATTGTGGCCTTTTTATTTTTAATGATTACTATGGGGCCATTTTCCGTTGACGTGGCTGTGAAGTGAATAATCAGATAAAAGAAATGAGTTATACTTCCTGCTTAGTTATCATTAGAACAATACATATATATATATTTATTTTTTTTAAAAAAAAAAAAATAGAAACCATTTATTTCAAGATTATTAATTCAAAGTGTCACTGTTCGCTCTGATTGTGGCGCAATGTAAAAAAACGTGGCAAAAAACTCTCATAACAATTTTACAAATAATTATGGCTAAAAATAATTATTAACATCAAAATACTTCATTATTAACTTAAAGTGGCTCTGCTCTTCAATTCACGTAACAATATAGAAAATTTGGCAAAACCACTCTCGTACGCCCTTGTTAATAAAGCAATAATTTAACAAATAATTGCGGCTAAAAATAATTATTAACATCAAAATCTCACATTTCCTAATTATTAAATTAAAGTGGCTCTGCTCTTAATTTGTAAATTTTAACATGAAAAACGTGGCAAAAATACTCTTGTACGTCTTCTTTGCATACTTCTCCTCCATTTGATTTATGAAATAATTTGAAATATGTGTTAATATAAAAATTTTCTTATATAAACACTTTGAGAAAGAGGTGAGAAAATTTCTTTAAACAAATTAATAAACAACGAATTAAAAATTATATATATTACAATCACAACATCAATAATGAAATTCAAATACTTATTGCTAATTTTCACCTTTACTATTGTTTTAGCGGGTAAATAAATCATTACTTTAAAAGAAAATTTTCTTTTTTATTCATATTAATATTAAGGGTGATAATTTAAATTCTTAGATGCAGCACTGGGACATTGAAACGTCCTGATTGGAAGCATGACGCGGATGCAGAAGCCTTTTTCTCCCCGATTGGAAACATGACACGGACGTAGAAGCCGAGCCCTCCGATTGGAAACGTGAAGCGGACGCAGAAGGGACTTGAAACGTGACAAAGACG